AAACCCACATCTGCTGTGACCATGCTGCCGCTCCCCACCGGACCCTGCAGTGGGGTCTCCCTGCCCTGACCACCTCCCCCTTTCTTTACGTTTTTTTTATTTTTTGAGAGACCGAGCACAAGCAGGGGAGGGGCAGAGAGAGAGGAAGACACAGAATCTGAAGCAGACGCCAGGCTGAGCTGTCAGCACAGAGCCCGACACGGGGCTCACGCTCACAAACCATCAGATTGTGACCTCAGCCGAAGTCGGAGGCTCAACTGACTGAGCCCCCCAGGCGCCCCACCTCCCCCTTTTCTACGGGGTAGTGAAAGTGGCATTAGCACACTCAGAACCCTTCAGGTGCCTCTAGGATAAAATCCCAAGGCCCTGAAAGGTTTACAAGCCTCCCGAGGCCAGCCTCAGCTCTTTCGTCCTGCCCCGCCCTCAGGAATGCTCCCCTCGATCCCTTCTCTCCGCCTAAGTCCACAAGGGCTGACACCTGAGCCCCAGCCACATGGCCTTCCTCAGGAAACGTTTTCTCAGTGGGTAAATGTTAAATAAGCCAATTCTGAAATTCACAAAATACCTGAGCTCTTAGTAGGAAAAAAGTCCATTCACCTATTGAAGAGAAACCACAAAACCCGGTGGGGCAGAAGACAACGGGGATCGCTAAGAAATGAAAAGCAATTTTACCCAAAATACTTGATTTTAAGCTCTGGTCAGTGTGAGCAGTTAGGCACTTAGGAAGCAGGCCAGGTAACGCACTCGTACCCTCGTCTGGTCCCGGAACTTGCCACCTGCCTCGCTGGCTTTGGCCTGGGCCTCCAGGATTAGTTCCTTAAGCGACAAAGCATCATCTTTTCTCAATGAAAAGCCCACGTTTTTCAGCATTAACAGGATCAGTTCAATATCTTTTTCTGTGAAAGTTCCGATAAGTTTTTTCAAAATGTCAAAGACAAGGAGAGACTGCACCACGTGGAAGTTATACAAGTGGGCGATGACAGTGAACAGGTTCTCACACTCTCTGTCTTCGCCTCCGTTCTTGTAGATGGTGTCAAACCTCCTCACCACGGCCTCCAAAAAGTGAGCACCGACCTGGACAAGGCAGAAAAAATATCACCGCAAACATGCAAAAATCAATGTTGGCAAGCTCTTCTCAGGGATCCTTCTTCCTCCTGCAACGAACTTGAACGTCTAGTGCTTTTTAAATTAACACAGAAAATATACAGCTACTAAGTTACAGACTCTATGGCAGCTTGAGCTCGGCTCCAGCTAAGGCTGGAGGGGGCAAGAGAAGCAGGGACACAGAGCCCGTGGGGAGGTGTGTCCACACAGCAGCCGAGGGAGGACAGCCTGGGATGCTGACGGTGACCCCGAAGGGGCACCCCGTGGTGAATGCTACATCCCGTTCAAATATAATCCAAGACAGAAAGTAGAATTCTGCAGACATCAAGAAAAATTCAGGCATAAAACATATTTAAGTATGTCTTCAATCACACAAACAGAATAATATCAACATTTGTCAAAATTTTAGATTCCAGTTAATATCTTCAGAACAAAATATAACTTTACTATAATATGAGTAACATTCATGTGACTAAAGTTACTTAAGAATATGCCTTAATTCTGACTTAGAGATGTAAAAAAAAAAATTTTTAATGTTTATTTATTTTTGAGAGAGCAAAAGCAGGGGAGGAGCAGAGAGAGAGGGAGACATAGATTCAGAAGCAGGCTCCAGGCTCCGAGCTGTCCACACAGAGCCCGATGCGAGGCTCGAACTCATGAACCATAAGATCATGACTTCGGATGCTCAACCGACTGAGCCGCCCAGTGGCTCCTGATTTGGAGATTTTAAAGCAAATCTGCACAAGCCTGACTTTTATTTTCAGTAACTGGCAGCAGGGGTCTGTGACAGACTCTTCTCCCACGAATTCCTGCGAGGAGGTCCTTCTCAAGAACTGAAAGAAAAGCTAACGGACCCAGTCCGGACAGCTGGTCAACCGCTGGCAGAAGCGGACACTGTCCACTAAGCATCGTGACGACTCCCCGGGGACGAGCCATTCCAGGTGTCCTCCATACCGTGCGTGGGGGTCTCAATGACACGTGGGACCCATCGCCTCATGCCGTCCGACCCAGGGGTCCTACCTGCTGTGGCTGCTCGGGGTCTACGGCTGTTACCGGAACTCCACTTACCGTCTGCGTTAAATCCTTCTGGTTACGAAGGGCACCGGTGTGACCCCGGGAGGCCTGGGGCGCACTAGAAAAGCCCCGGGGGCACCGCGTCGCGGCACACACAGGGCACTCGGGAGTGGCGTCCAGGGAGTCTAGCACACTTCACCGTGAAGAGAAGGGACTCACGGCGTCTTATGTGAGGACGGCCCTTACAACACAAACGATTACTTCTGGTAGGTGATTCTCCAAGTAGGTGGGAAACGGAATGCTGCCTGGGAAGGTTGTGGCTTTACCGTAGGAGGTGACCCAAGAGGACTTCTCAGAATGGGAGCAGTCACCGCACGGCCTCCCTGAGGCTAAGGCAGAGGGCCAGGGGCAAGGACGCGCCTGCGGGCTGCCCGCAGGTGGCCCCGGGGGCTCCGAGCCTGGCCCCGTCCCGCGTCTCCTCACGTCATCAAACCCGCCGTCACTCCCAGTCTGGTGGCCTCACGCCCAGTACGAACACCTGAGCAGACAGACCACACGGACTGCCGTGCTCCGAGCATCTGGGGCAAGTCTCTGTTAGAGCGGGGAGCACGATGGAGGCAAGTCCGAGACGCCAGGCCCGAGCAAACTAACGGCGACGGGGGCCATCAGAACGGACCGGACACGAAACCAAGTATTTGGGAACGCGGTTCGGACGACGCGGTGGCGACAAAGCAGCACCTGCCTTCCGGAGCCGCCTGTGGACACAGCCATCACGCAGGGAGAGGGACCCTACCTCCACGCCGACCGTGTGGTGAAGGACGCTGAGCAGGAGCACGTGCTCCATCACCAGCCTGCCTGGCATGGCCGCGCCTGGGGCACAGGCGCTCAGGAGGACGCCCGTCAGAGTGTCGTTCATGTCCTTCCTGCTGTGGGCCATGTACAGTTCCTCCAGCTGCCCACTTATGGAGGCCACGCTCGGCTCGCTCAACCTGCAGGCAGTTGTGAAGGCAGAGCGGCAATGACGCTTCTCATCAGGAATTACTTTCTAGGTCCATTTAAACAAATTAGAGTCATCAGTACCACTCTACACCCTATCCACGTGCCCGTCTGACCCACTAACAGCTCTTGGGTGGCCCCGGTAACGCGTGTATCCGTACACGGCACGCGATCCTCTGGGAGCCCGCAATGACCTAACCACTGTCTTCCTGCCTGCAGGAAGCATACACGGGACTCGAAGACCCCGGACACTATGCTGAGGGAGCTTCACTGCTGCCCTGATCCAGTGTCCCGGGCACAGGCAGGGAGCTGTCCTTACTTAGCATGTGGGGACGCACTGTTGGGAAGAAGTCCGTTTCCACCTTGGGCCAGAGGCCAGCGTAACGATTTCCACTCCTACACTGAGGAAAGGCTGCTCTGTGTCCTGGGCAGAGGGGAGGGCTGGACAGGTACATGAAGATCATGCACCATTCCTGTGCTGCCCCCGAGCGTTAAAATGGCATGTATGGTAGAATTCCAGAATTACCATGGAAACCGTGTTTTGTTTTTTTAATTAAAAACGAAGCAATGAGGGCTCCTGGGTGGCTTAGTCTGTTAAGTGTCCAACTCTTGACTTCGGGTCAGGTCATGATCTCATGACAGCATGGAGCCTGCTTGGGATTCTGTGTCTCCCTCTCTCTCTGCCCCTCCCCTGCTCAATCTTTCCCTCTCTCTCAAAATAAACTAAGAAACTTAAAAACAAAATAAAACAAAGCAGTGAGTGCAGGGGGAGGACTGGGTGTGACCACAAAGGCTAGCATGAGAGCTGTGGGGTGCTGGGAGGGTCCCGCCTTCACTGTGGGCAGGACCTGGAGCTCCCTGCCTGAGACCCTGCAGAGAACACACACTCTCAACCACGAGTAACGAGCAAGGGGACTGAAGCCCGCATTCCGGACCAGGAGCGCCGGTGCAGGGGGAGGCCCAGTCCTGCCAGGCCCGGTCCTGGGACTTCTCAGAACGACCATGACCATGTGGCTTTCAGAGTCTGAAGGGTTCAAAGTACCAAACAGAAAAGGCGGACATCCTGCTTTCCAAGGCACAGATCTGGCTGCACTAAGACAGGAACCGAGAGGGGCTGTTGTGGTCGATCAGCTTACGGGTTATTGCTGGGAAAGTTTCTACGTTCTCAGAACACAGACGATCTCTTTTCATGTCACAGGGTGACAGTGTCGCCAGGTTACCTGTTGATGAGACCTTGGACGTGTCTCTTCAGTCTTTCCAGTCCCTCCTTTTTCTGACCACTCACTGTCTCCTCAGCATGCCTCACGTGAGGTGGGACGTACTCTCCATCGTTTTCGCAAACACTCTGCTTGAAAAGACAGAAATAAATGACAAAAACTTTACACTGAACAAGTTCCACCTTTCTGTCTTCTATGCTCACGTTTACATATTACAGTCCCACGGAGCGGCAGGGGCTGGCCCACTGACCACTGCTGCTTAATCACCATCAGTAACGTACTGCATGCCGTGGGGAGCCCTGAGCCCCCCACTCCCCAGCCTGGTGGTGTTGCCACTGACGTTAGTGTTGGCACATCTCGTCCCCTTGTTTCTCCCTGTGACTCTTCAGAACTGGCCGTGACCCTCCGGCATCTGCCCACCAGAGCTCCACAGTCTACATACACCTGCTTGGGCTTAATTTACGGTCAGCACAGCAGGATACAAACACCGAAATTAAATGTACCACCGGTTTTGGAGGGAGACTGTTCTAAAATAACTTCAAAAAGAAAAGAAAAGAACTTCAAACTTGTTCAAAACTACTGTCTAAGTATACAAGACCAAATCAAAATCAATCCATTGCTCACTATTTCCCAGATTATCAACTGGGAAGGTTACAGATCATCACCATTGACCAACACTCTCCGGGTACCTAAGTGAGGGCTTTAGGGGACAAACATTTGTAAGGCATGATTCCTGCAGTCAGGGAGCTCAAACTTAGTTGCAGAAAACACATTTATGTACACAGAAACTGTTACTCTTGAGACACCCATCGGTTCAGTTGTCAATTATACCTCAACAGGCTGTGAAAGAACAGTTAGGGACAGTCCAAAAACCAAGTCCTGAGAGAGGAACCGAGAGCAGTTAAAGACTGCTCACAGAGCGCCAGGTGCTAAGGTTCCGGGGACAGACACGAGAGAGTGTTAGCTCCTACACTTAAGATGGGGAAAGACGCCCAGGGAAGTCTACGTGGACAGACAGACACGTTGAGAAGATGAAGACAGGCCCTGCAGGCAGGAGGGAGAAATGCATTTAGTTAGGCACAGAACGCTGGGACAGCGACACGCGGGAAGAGTGCACGCACTCCACTCATATGCTTGCCTTCAAGGTGCACGCGGAGGTGCCCCCCTCCCCCAAGGCAACTTCTGGGTGCTGGGTTCCGAACTTGATCTTCAACATAGGACTTTGTGGAAGGGGGTGCTGTAGATCAGCTTTATGTTTTAAAGATTCACTCTGGAAGCAGCGGGACAGGAAAACGACTAGGGAGGGCAGAGGTGGTGAGTCAGGGATGCTAGAGACATCCCCCCCCCACCCCGCCAAAACGACGGAGGCCCACTGGGAACAGAGCACAGGGGGAGGGAACTCAAAGTCAGGTTTAGAGACTGAGGCAGTAAGCTGAAGATATCATCTTAGAACGACCAGTGGGAATGGCCATTAAGCTTCTGATATAAAAAGTCTCCAGAAAGGTTTTCTCCCTTAACTCTTCATTATGGAAATTAAAAAACATAATAGACATAATAATCCGATTTACCCACACTTGGCTCAGCAACTACCAATAGATCAATATGTCACTTCTGTCCCACTCTGGCCACCACGCGTCATTTCGGGGAAAATTCCGGAGAATTTAGGTTGTCCACACGATACCTGATCTGTTGCGTCTGTGCCCGCGTCCTCAGAGGAATTTTCACTCGTTTCTTCTGCAAAACGGACTCTCTTTTTGTCCCTTTTCCACTTCGCTCTCCCCTCTGCCGCTTTTTTTGGCTTAATGTCTTCCACGTCGTCCTGCTCACTGTGCGCTCCCGCTTCCACCTTGTTCTTTTCTTCTTCTTCCTCCTCCTCCTCCCCCTCCTCCTCCCTTTCGTCCTCGGTGTCGCTCTCTAAGTCACTTTCGGGGACAGTCTGTCCGACATCCTCCTCCTCCTCCTCACTACTGCCTTCGTACGAGCCGCCAGTTCTTCCAGACCCCAGGGCTCCCAGGATGTAGTCGAGCCCATCGCGAGCAAAGCTAAGCGGCACGGAGCCACCGTCGCCCTTCCTTCTGCGCTTGTTCAAGCCGAGGCACCGCTCCAGCTTCCGGATCTCCCGGTCCTCCTCCTCGTTGGCTGCCAGAAGGGCCCGTTTCCGGGCGGCGGCGGCTGCGCCGGGTCTGATGCTCCCGGGGAGACCCCTGGCCTCGGGGCGGGCCCGGGCGCCCTTGGCCAGAGGAGGTCGCGGCTCGTCCGGGGGCGCCGGGACCCGACGAGGGGACCGCCGGCCGCCCTCCCCCTCCGCCCCCTCCGCCCGAAGGCCACTCGCTCCCCCGGCTCCGCCGCCGCCTGGGCCCGGGACCTTCGCCGGGTCCGCAGTCCTCTGCAGCCGGCGCGCCTTCTTCAGGTGCCGCTTCTCCTTCCTCAGCTCCCTGCGGCTTTTCCTCCCGCCCCGGCGCAAGCGCCCCTCCGCCCGGGGCCCGGCCGGGCCGCCGGGGGTCTCACCCTCGGAGGTCGCCTGCACGAACTCCTCCACCGCTAGCTTCAGCCGCTTCAGGGCCCCCTCCGTGCCGCCCCCCGGCCGGCGGCGCCCCCCGCGTCCGTGCTGCCCGCGCCCCCTTCGCCCACGCCGGCCCGTCACGCCCGCACTTGCGGACGCCGCCATTTTCCTGGATGCTCCTACTCCAACTTCCGGCCGGGGCGGGACTTCCGGGCAGAGCCGGCGCTGAGCCGGACGGGGCGGTGTCCCCTGCTGGCGGGAGGGCGGCAGCGCAGGGAACGTCGCTTGCTCGGCAAATGCTGGAAAATCTGTGTGCTGAGCACGCAAGTACATTCTCATTTAATGAATGAAACCCTACGGCCTATGTCACAGGAGTTAAGTGTGGTTGTCTGGATGGCGCGACTCTTCAGACGTGCTTGCCTTTCATAGATCCGTAGGGAAAATGTTAATGTCGTTTCCGGTGGGCATTTTACAGGGGAAACGTATCCAAGCTTATGATTCTGACACTTGCTTATTTCACTCCAGCTCAGGCCTCCCATCCCTCCACTACAGTGGAATGGCTCACCTCCGTATTTATTAGGGTTGCCTGGTACTTCATGGGGCGATGTTCCATTATTTCTCTCTCAATAGCGGTGTCCTGGGATGAAAGTATTCGTGTCTACCAGAGACTGGGAAGGTGAGCTTATTTGGAAATAGGGTCTTTGCAGCTGTGATCAAGAGGAGGTTACGCCTGAAACTAATACAGCACTGATTGGTAGTCATACTTCAGCCGAAGGAAAGGTAAGAGGAGGTCTTCCCGGATTTCCCAGCCTGTTCCGGGCTCACACACAGGGAGAGGGCGGTGAGCTCCTCCTGGTCGGCCACCGCCAGCAGCTGGGAGAGGTCTGGAACAGATTCTCTCTGGGAGCCCAGAAGGAAGTAACCCCACCCACACCACCATTTCCGACTTCCAGCTTTAGGAATGAGCCTATCTGTTTCTGTTGTTTTCAGCTGCCCAGTTTGTGGTACTTTGTTACTAGGTGGTTTATAGTAGGAAACAGTGCAGTAGAGGGGAAGAACAGTACTCATGGCTTAAAGGTGAAGAGAAAAAAACTTCAGGAAGGACCAGAGACAAGCAAATAAAAGTTCAAAACTCGGAGTGTTCAACAGCCGGGGCTCTGGGGCTTGGGTTCAGATCCTGACCTCACGCTTTCACGCTTTCGGCCTCACTGAGCTCAGCTTCTCTGAGTCTCAGTTTCTCTATCTGCAGAATGGGATGATGATCGTGCCTATCCCACGGGGCTATTATAAAAATAGTGAGGTTTGAGCAAACACCTGCTGTCTTTGGTTTTGTAGCAGAACGTATGCTGTTCCTCTCTTGTTCTCCCTCAGTGGCCCTGCCAGGCGGCTCTCGGCTCTTGGTCCGTCACACCCTCACTCTGTGACCCATGTTGCTAGCTGTCCCCTTTCTCATCTGTGTTTGGGGCTGCGGCGAGGGCTTGTTTGCCGGGACTACGAGCGCTCTGGGAATGAGCAGTTCGGAGGCTGAAGGTTGGGGCCGTGCCTGACGAACTAGCTCCAGTGTGGAAAGATCCAGGCGCTGTCCGCCTGTCCACATCACTAAGTTCCCGGAGAGAAGCATCGGGGGAGGACGGGCCTCCCGGGGGCAGCCCCCGCTCCCTGGTCCTGGGGCTCTGGGGCTTTGGAGCAGGTGCTGGGGTGCCGGCCTAGCTCTGCCTTCCAGGGCGCCTCCCCTCCCAGGCCCTGGCCGTGTGCGAGGCCGTGCGAGGGAGATGAGAGAAAGCTTGTCTCCACCTGTCCTCACCTCCTGTCTCCGCAGGGCTCTCGCTTCTGCTGTTATGCCCTGGGGTCCACGCTTCTCTCTCGTTCAGGCATTTCTCTGCTGCTAATTGTTTCTAATCCGTTTTGACAGAAACCGGATGAATTACATTCATTCACTCATGCAGAGTCTTTAGAAGGGGTGTGGCACATCGTAAGTGCTCAGTAAATGTCAGTGACCTCCCTAATCGGCTGGCATTCACGGATCACTCTGAACCCTGGGCTGGCAGCGTCCAGGCCACCTGGCTGGCTCTGCCTTCCGGTTGGTGGAGGTGGCTTTGCTCCGAGGCCACGGCTTCGAAGACTCCGTGAGGGATGGATGTGGGCAAATCTTGGGGGTAGTTTTCAACCCTAAAATCCTAAAGCGAGGGAGGCCTTCTGCACTTATTCCGACGACTTCTCACTTGGAGGAGCTCGGTGTCTCCAAACCCGCAAACCGCCATCACCCCACTGGCCAGGCGTTCAGGCAGTTGGCGGAGAGGGAGTTCTGTTTCCCTCGTGAAAGCAGCTGGGGGTGGGAGAAAAGCGCCTTTACCATCTCGTCGCCAAGACAAGCAACGCGGACGTAGAACAGTCCGTTCATGACACAGGGGCTGGGGCAACAGAGGGCACCCGGCCAGCAGCAGAACCAGAGTGCGGGTGTGTGCACGTGGGGGTGCATGTGCAAACTACAAGCCGGCCACGTGGGCAGGGGCCGGGCGGGCAAGGTGTGGCAACTTGCGCCGCATTTCACTTTAATTCTGGGCGCACAAGGAAACCAGGGAAATGCTTCCGGTGGAGGGGTGGGCAGACTGTTCGGGAGTGACCCAGATAGATTTGCACTGTGAGAGACTCACCCCACTGCCGGCAGGACCGACCCAGGCTGGTCGCCTTGAAGGGCAGACGGAAGCCTGTTGCCTCAGACACTTGTCCCCTGGCCTGGAAAAAAATTGTGGGTTGGGGCTTTGCCTGACAGCTTTTTAAAAATAATAGCATGGATGATCTATCACGAGGAACATGATGTACAATTTAAAGCATAGCCTTTAGCTCTGTGTCTTAGTGCGAGTATAACAGAACGCCACAGACAGGGGTGGGAGTGGGGGTGGGGTGCTTAAACAGCAGAGATTTATTTCTCAGAGTTCTGGGGGCTGCAAGTCCAAGGTCAGGGTGCCGGCACATTTGGTGTCTTGTGACACGCCCCCCCACCCCCCAACCTGTTTCACGGATGGCCTCTCCTCTCTGTGTCCTCACTTGGGGGGAAGGTGAGAGAGCTCTCTGGGGTCCCCTCTGTAAAAGCACTCAGCCCACCACGGGGCTCCACCCTTCTGATCTGGTCACCTCCCCAAGGCCCCATCTCCGGACACCATCACACTGGGGGTGAGGACTTGAACACATGGATTTGGGGGAACAAAAACATTCTGTCCGTAACACTTAGGCTTACAAACTTTTTTGTTTCAGTGCATCAATTTATTGATTCCTTTTTTCTCTGATGCAAATTAATTCATGCTCACCGTAAAAAAAGGAATCATTATAGTTATACGTGTGATGTGGAAGGGGAGTCCACCCTATGCTTAACTTTCCAGAAATACATTTCCTTCTGGATATTCAGTTTATATACCAACTTGCATTATGATGATGATGATGATGATTTTTTTTTTTTTTTTTTTTTTTTTTTACCAAAATGGGATCTATTGTTCCGCAATAGATGATTCAGCTGAGGCTTCTCTCCACATCGGTGACCTGGAGCCTGGCAGCATCATTACTGGAGGGTTAGGAATGTAGTAACATCCACGGCCCTTCCCAGACCCACTGAGTCAGAATCTGCATTCAGCAGCCTCCAGGGTGATTCTTGGCATGGTAACATCTGAGTATCGATTCTGGATCCTCCATTCTTTCCAGTGGCTCGATGGGCATAATTTTTGTAACCAATCTGCTAATGAGGAATATTTGATTGCTTCCTGTTAAGGACACATTTTTTGCACTATTAAAAATGCTGTAGTGAACATTGTGTGTGTGTGTGTGTGTGTGTGTCTGCAGGACTGTGCACATGTTCCACAGATTGTCATCCTAGAAATTGCTTAGAGAAAGTATACACACGTGTTTTAAACATTCACAGATAAATGGGTCACCTGGGTGGCTCAGTCAGTTAAGCGACCGACTTCGGCTCAGATCATGATCTCGCGGTTCATGAGTTCAAGCCCCACGTTGGGCTCTGTGCTGACGGCTCAGAGCCTGGAGCCTGCTTCGGATTCTGTGTCTCCCTCTCTCTGCCCCTCCCCTGCTCATGCTCTGTCTCTCTCTGTATGCCAAAAATAAATAAATATGTAAAAAAATTTAAAAATTCACAGTGCCAAATTTGCAACCCCAAAGCTGGGCCCGTCTGTGCTGCAGCCGAGAGTGTGAGCACCTGTGTCCCCCACCTCCTTCACAGACGCCTCTGGGGTTTCCTCTTTGCCATCTGGTAGGTGAAAGGTCAGCATACAGAGAGGCCCTGGCTGCAAGGTCAAGGTCAAATGCACCTCCCTTCTTCTGCCTCCTGCTACTAAACGGCAGCCCAGACTTCTCCCCCAGCATCCATGCCGTAGCCCCTGATGGAGAACTTTGGGCCAGACCCAGAGCCTTCTCCCCATCCTTGAAGCTGCTGTGCTGCACAGGCCCCAGCATCTCCTCCCTTTGACTCTCTCCAGTCCACCGGCTGCCAGAGCATTTGCTCTAGACCTAAATCTCCCCTTGCCGTTCCCCTGTGTAAGATCTTTCATGGCTCCCGGAAGAACCAAGTTCAAAGCATGGCCTTTCAGCCCATTTGGGTCTCCCCGATCCCAGCCCCCCCGGCCTCTCTTCCCCACATGTCCCAGGTTTGGCAGGATGCTCCGTCTTGAGCCTCTCTGTCTACCCTCTGGCCGGAGTGCCCCTTTCTGCTTGATCACCCCCGGCTTTGCCCAGAGACAGCTTCCTGCCTCCCTTTACCACTCCTACTGCACCCCTTACCCTATTCTGTGCTCACCCCTGTCTCCCAGACTGGAGGGGAGAGCTCAGATTCTGTGTTCTTCAACTTTCTGCAGCCATGTTTCTACCTCCAGGACCTACTTGTAGTCCTGGCCGGCAGCAGGCACTCACTCACTTGCTGGGCAAAACGCACGACCGAGTGGGCTCCCTGGGACGCCCATGTGCAATCACATGGAGGCAAAAAGGAACTTTGAGAGCCAGCGTCCTCAGTCTTTTCCTTCTGGTATATTAATTAGCGAGGGAACGGCCGAGCCAAGAGCCACGGGTCCAGCTTTCCTCTTGACAGAACTCAGACAGCACCGGGCTGCAGCAGCCGGGTCAGACTGGACGTGGAAGAGGGCACCTTCATGGGAGAGGCTTCT